TTTTTTTTTTTTAACATTCATGCATTGATGCATTCATGCTCATAATACGAAGCAAAGGAATATAAATGAGTGTAAAATTTAAATACCATGCTGGTAAAAAAAATTAAATATCATTATCATATCATTTTTTTCTTCCAACCATTACTATATTATTGTCACTCTTTCTTTTATTTTCTTTGAAAAACAAATATTAGCTTTATGAATTTAATAAGTTTCAAAAATTTTATGAACGTGTGGAAACATATTAGAAGAGTTTAACCCTAATACTCATGGGAAGAGGTGCTCAACAATACTTCAAACATAATTATCTCTAAAAAAATTAAAGAAAAAAACAATTTTCTTCTATTTTAAGAAGAAACAGAACAAAACAAAGGAAGGAGGTTTAGGTTGAGGGGTCCCCTACCATCTAAAAACAATATGATCATCCGAATCTCAAACTTACACGCAGCCAGAGCACCCTAAACAGCAGACACAAGATATTTTTAATAGCCACGATGCATGCTGTATTATTGCTTAGCTTGTCTGGTCAAAAAAAAAATTATTGCTTAGCTTGGGCCCCACATAACTTCATGTGGTGACATTGGCATATACTTTCCTGATCCTATTCATAAGTCACTTTCAACATATTTTATACAGACAAAAAGAAAATCTTAAATTTTATTAATTTTTATTTAAAATTTAATAATTTTTTAACCTTATCCCTATTCAATATATATTGCACTCTATGAAAACAAAGTCAACACATTAATAAATGAAGAGTAAAGTTATATGTTCATATGAAAAAAAATTTTCTTTACTCTATAAATAGGACCAAAAAGTTTCTATTTTCTCTGCTCTATAAGTAGTATACCTATATTCTCACCGTCGCCAACAAGCAGTGAAAACCTTTTACCAACTATGACGTCTTTTTTAAATTTTAGCAACCCTCTACGAAACGGCCGTCGCATGAAAGATAGTATTAGTAATACAAACCGTACTATAAAATAAATCTTATAGTACTTCTGATTTTTAATATAAGCGTTAGTTGATTAATTTGAGTAGATTAAGAAAATTAGTTGAGTTAATTATTTATAATAAATAAATGTTTTCTTCTTTAAAATACTATTACTAATCAAGTGTATTAGCTAGAACTATTATTTGGTAAAATATTTAATATGTACAACTACTATAAGGACTACATTAAGAAAAATAGATAAATATAAGAGATAAAATGGATTAAAATCTTATATTTAGGATTAAATTAAAAATTAAACCGGTTTTTATATTAAGGGTTGGAAATAGTATCAAGGACCGGAGAAGTAATTCACTGCAATTATGTGAGTCCAACTCGAGCCTTTGCTGCTGATGCAACCATAACTGCTGGCGGTAGTGAAATCCAATGGCTGATGATGCTCCTCCCACAGGTCTCGGAATGATTTCCACCGCACGATGTCTTTGATCCTGACCCAGTTTTTGATTTCTACAGAATCGCCGTAATTCTTGGAATTGGTTTTCCTCAAGAGCTTGCGCGAGAAACTCCGAGGTAAAATTAGGGGTGAGCAACAAACCCATTACCCGCTAGCCCGCTCATAACCCATGAAATTTTTGCCTATTTAAGCCCGCCCAATTAGCCCAAATAAGATATTATAAACGGGCGGGCTTAAATGGGGGGTAGCCCATTAAACGGGTTGGGCTATGGGCAAGGTATTGGGCTGCCCATACCCGCCCATTTAAGTTTTAAGTTTTTAAAAATATTTTTATTCTTCATTTAATTGATGATATTGTTTCTCATTCATATTTTATCAAACCTTCATACTTGTCTAAGTTTTTATTTTATCCTTTAGGTAAAATTTGGAACTTTCAAAGTTTATGAGACTTTATGATTGGTGACTATTTTTATGATTTTATCAGACTTTAATTGTTTGCGAATCTAAGTGAGGTTGTGTGATTGAATATGGTTGATGTTATTTCATATTTGATTTGCTATTTGGCATGCAAAATTTATTGACAGCTTTATAAGGTTACATATATAAAATAATTATACTGAAAAAAAATTTAAAAAATAAATGGGTTACCCCATAACCCGGTTAGCCCAAACGGGCTGCCCCGTAGCCCATTTAATATGGGCTAAATGGGCTACTACCGGGTTATGGGTTAGCCCATGCCCATTTATGAATAAATGGGCGGGCTATGGGCTAACCTTCGGGTTAGCCCACCCCGCCCATTGCTCAGCCCTAGGTAAAATCGAAGGATAGTTCACTGGAAAAGAATATGAGCTAACGTAATTCTTGGATTTGGGTATTTTCTCCTACTTCTCAAGTGTTTTTTTTTAATTATTAGATTTTACATAAAATGAGTAAAATTTTTATATCTCATAAATTAGAAATGGTGCGGTTTTCAACTTTTTATGATTTTTCAAAGAAAATATACTCTAAAATTAGTGCTGTTTCTTTTTAATTTATACATAAATTCTTTGAAAAATAAAAAAAACCTCCACTGACTTTAGGTAGAATCTAATAAAAAAATAAAAAAATATTTCGAAATTAAAGAAAAACTAGAAATTTCTCCCCCGTGCGATGCACGGACTAAAATATTTGATTAAATTTTAAATTCTACTAAATTGTATTATTTAAGATAGCTCAAGATTTTTTTTTTTATAGAAGTGTGTTTTTTTTTTATTCCTTCAGATTGTATTTGAATTAAAGATGTAGAATTTAGGGGAAACGTATGAAAATTTAAAATTAATTATTTATCTCTCCATTTAAACCCCAACTGACGTATTATTTTATGATACTTCTCATTTAATTTAATATATTCAAATCCCAATTAAGATATTATTAAAATTCAAAATTAATTATTAATTTCTTCATTTGAGCCTCCATTAAAATCTCATTTAATAACGATGCTCCTCATTTAATTCAATATACCCAAGTCTCAATCAAAATATTATTCAGATTTTATTATTAATTGAATATATTTGGATATTATAATATCATACCCGACCCGTTTTAAAGAAATCGGGTATTATAAGTTTTCAAGAATATAATTAATTGATTGATTGATGATTGATCGAGTAGCAGCGGTGGAGCAGCGGAGATGGGACCGTTAATACCCCAAATCTGCAATTCTTGATGAGGGCGGGTAGGAGAGAATTCAAAATGCTCGGATTTGAATTACTGGAGAGTGAGGTTGGGCCCATTTCGGGGAGGCTGCGCATGGCGGAGAGATTTGATTTGCTTGGAAATGATTTGAACCCATTGGAAGAACAAGAAGTTGAGTTATCACTGAGAAGAAAACAACGTGCGTTGCAGAGCAGAACCAACCATTACGAAGAAGATAAAAAGTGGGTTCAGTACCAAGTTAGCAAGTGAGTGAGTATCAATCAAGAAAGAAATAGAGTAAGTGAGAGGAGCCAGGAAAATATTTAAATAGTTTTTCATGTTTTTTTAAATATTAAAAAATTTCTGAAAACAATGGTTCTTTTTTTTTTTAAAATAGAAAATATGCTTAAATATCCTAAAAATATGTACGAAGAAACACCGAACACTTTAAAGTTTTTTTTTTGCTCTTATATGCCAAAAAAGTTTATCTTTGTAACAAAAATACCCTGGCTGTTATCCACCTTTAAATATAATCATTAAATTATATTATGCAGTTTGACCGGTGTTTTAATAGTCAAACTTAGTGACAGATAACAATTTAGGACAGAAATGTTACGAAATAAAACTTTCAGGATATATAAAGAGTCAAAACAAATTTTCATATGCTAGGTGCTCCTTTGTAAATACTTTTGGAATATTTAAATATCTTATCCTTTTTTTAGGTGAAACAAAGAGTATCCTCAAATCACATTAGATTTAAAACTAATCTCTTTTGAATTGAGAGAAGTTAGGAAATAATCCTCCCAAAATATACATTTTTTAAAATTTGAATTTGAATCCTCCTCTTTATGGGACTGAGTTCACTACCAATTTTTTTAAAACATACCAAAATTTTTACATGAAAATAATGTACACATTTAAAAATAAAATGTAAATATATATAGTTTAAAACACAAAAATGGTTGTAATTTTATATCTACCTTAGAGAATGTTTTTAGAGGTTTTTAAAACCAAAAAAAAATTTACAAATTTGAAAATTAATTAGTAAAAGTTTAAGAATGTTAAAAATAAAAGTGTACACTGTTTTTTTATTTTTTTTATATATAATATAGTTCAAGAGTGCGCATACACTATTATTCTAGAACAACAATCTATGAATGTGGGTTCAAAAGAAAACGACAACGATGGTAGAAGCTTGGATGGTTCTCAGGTTGATATATAATATAAAATAATAATAATAATTAATTTGCAAGTTAGTTAATTATGAGATTGTGATCATGTGGTTTTAGGGTCGTATCCACGGAAGTATGTCGTTTAGCAGACCAAATGGTTTGACTATGAAGGATTCACTTGAGATACAGTTGTCGTATAACAGGTCCCATCACATGCGTAGCGTACACTGCACCAATTGCCGTCCGTTTTATTAGTTAGTATGCTGATAAAGTACAAGGCCATTATAGATGCTTAACATAATAGTTAATACAACTGTATTATGCTTAAATCCTTTTTTTTTCTTTTCTTTCACTTTCTATCAACTTTTTTTTTTAAATTCACAATTAAAAGACTACGTATCATTATTTTAATTTGTTATCGTTTCATATATAAAAATAAAATTTCTTAAAATTTTCAAATATATATAAAGAATGTTTAAATAAAGTTTTTGTTGAAAATAATTTAAGCAAAAAAAAACAATATGAATAATTCCAACATTAGTTAGTTTTAGTGAAAGGAGCTTGGACCGCTTAAGGACGAGATCTCAAGTGAAAACAAAAATTAGAAGAGCTATTCTAATCTTGACAATACTATAATTTGACACAATTAGATAGTCATAAAAAATATAAATAATAAAAAAATTGAAAAAAATTGCTCATACTAATTTAATATTATTAATTTCTTTACAGAAATTACAAAAAAAGTCCCTAAGATCTTTATTCTCTTTTTCAACATGAAAAAGAACCATTAAAGATCATCTCAAGAATCAAATTTTGTAGAATAGCAGCCTCAACATCGCAAGCTAATTCTTGTTTCTGCTCCTCAAACTTGTTCCATCCTTCCCTCTCATCCATGTCTCTAATACAAGCATCCTTATCACTGTTCTCAAAGTCATCACCAAATGAACCATTCATCCAGTCCTGCGTTCTTCTCAATATCTCACACTCATACGCATCGTCGTTTTCATCGTCTTCCTTATTCCTAATTTCATTATCAACTCTCCTTTTCTCCGCTTCATCTCTGAAGAAATCCAACAATAGTTTCTCCAAATTATTATTAGCTTTAATCCTTTCAACTGAACCACTTGATTTGGTAAAATGTAGCAATTTCCATGCCATTTTCTCAGTTTTATCTCCTCCTTCTTCATATTCATCATCAATATCATTGTGCTCTGCATCATATTCCTCAGTCTCAAGCACTGAAACTGGGCTCCTTTGTTCTTCTTCTTCAAATAGCCTTCTTAATTTTGAATTTCCCTGCCATCATGATTTCAGATATGAAATAATATAAAAGATATCTTAATATTAAAATATTCACCACAAATAATAAAAAATCTGAGGAAAAGGTCTCTCATTAAAAATTCTATTGGTGAGAATGACCAGATAAATTTCTATACACAAAATGAGAACAAAACAAAAGAAACAACTGCAGACACACAAGTTTTTTAAGGAGACAAGATGCAGTCTATAATTGCTCACCTTGGGCCCAGCTGGATTTCCTGACGTCACATACACTGAATCCGCGCCGACCGGGGGCAAGAATCTTTTCCCTTCTACGACGTCGTTTCGAGGGCACTCCGCAAAACTACAGTCGCACGAAGAGAAATCACTGTCACTCCAACTGGAGCCTTTGCTGCTACTAGAGGAACTGGAGGCGGATGAGAAATCCAACGGTTGATGTTGCTCCTCTTCCCTGTCCCCGAATGATTTCCACCGCACGATATCCTTGATTCTGAGGGGCACTTTGATTTCCGCCGATCCCCTGCAATTCCTGGAATTGCTTTTCCTCGAAAGCTTACGCGAGACACTCCGAGACAAAATCGAAGGAGACTTCACTGCCAAAGTGGAGAACCTCTTGACAAGGGCGTTTAGGAGGGAATTCAGAATCCTTCGATTTGAATTCCTGGAGGATGAGTTGTTGAGGTCCATTTCGATGAGGCTGCGCATGGTGGTGGAGCGAATCGGATTCCGTGGAATCGGTTTGAACCCACTGGAAGGAGAAGGAGAAGAAATTGAACTCTCACTGAGAAGATCTCTCAGGGTTCGAGGGCTACGCCTTGTTTGTTGCAGAGCAGAACTACTCATTTTGATGAAGAAGAAGAATGAGAATAAGAAGTGGGTGTGGTGTGAGAGAGAGTGGGAGAGAATTTGAATATATAAAGGGCAGAGAAGAAGAAGGAGTGAGGTAGCTTCGAGGTGGAGATCTCAAGATCTCCGGGTAATACAGAAGCCCATGCAAGGTGGAAAATATATAATAATATTTCTCAAAATATGAATTATAGATTTATAATTATATTTTTAATTTTTTAAATCCACATGACCTTTGTTCTATTGCTTTAAACAAATTATATATACTATGATAAAATAAATAGTACTCCTCCGGTTCTTAATATAGGACCCAGTTATTGAGTTGGTTTTGGTCCTAAATATAAGACCAATTTATCATATTTATTAATTTTCTCTAAATTACCCATATAGATACTTTCTTCAACCATAATCAAGTAAAAAAAAAAAGAGAAGAAGTATTAAGAAAAAATGATTATGGTGCTTTTAGAAAACTGTGTCACATTTTTTATAATTAACTACCTTACCTAACTTTTTTAATCTAATCAAATTAGTTAAATGAGTTTTATATTAAGAACCGGAGAAGTAATATTTAATTTAAATTTTTGTGCAATTTAGAAAACTTTTGTAAAGGTTTTACATGAAAAACAGCGTTTTTATAATATTTAAAAAAGGGAACATTTATATAAATTTTGTAAATAAAAGTGTATAAATTAATTATGGTGGTGTTGGAGTTTACTCATGAATAGTGTGTACAGTGTAGAGTCAAAAGAAGACAAGAGTACTACTGTATGTACTGGATGGCTGAAAAGAGAAGAAAAGAAAAGGACAATAATGGTGGAAGCTTGGAAGGTTCTGAGCTAGAAATAGTGTAATGTATGTGACTATATAATAATGTAACACGGAGTTAGATTAAAGATGGAAGCCTGTCGTTTAGTAGATGAAATGAGTTGACTACGATGGATTCATATGTGATACGCTTGTCGTAAATGGTACTTCTTCCTCACATGCATGTGGATCCACCCATTTTCATCTATTTCCTTAGTACACGGTTTAGTGCTGAACTAGCATAGGCCATCATATTAATGTAAGATTAAAGTTTTTCTAACAAGTACGTTTTATAGGATTCAAATTTGTGTTCTTTTTCTTACAAGAGAGAGACAAATTTACTTTGATTTTAAATGTAAGAGTTTAATTTTTTTAAAAATTTATAATTTTTTCCTAAACTACTATAAGATTGCACATATTAAAAGGTTTTTTTAACTAAAACTATGTTCAATGTCAATAATTAAAAAAATTATTTTTTAACAAAAAATCAAGGTATACTTTCTTTTACAGAATAATTAACTTAACAAGTTTTTATTAATATTTGTAAATTATTTATCTGACTCTTAAATTTATAATATAAAAGATAATTTTACATAACAAAGTGAAGACTCATTTATACATTTTTAAAATAAAGCTATATAAATTAAGCAATATTTAAAATTATAGGGATTAGAGATACAATCTCCACAGTTTAAAAATATTCTGGATCACTAAAGGAGATCAACTATTTAAACTAAATATATAACAAAATACAATTTAGTTGGAGGGCGCTCAAATTTAATATTTCATAAAATATCTTTAAAATATAAAAATAAATAAGCAAATAAAATATAATGTCAAAATTTTAAATTTATCGGAAAACTTTTAAGAGAACACGTAGTATTTAATATTGCTTAACAACGGTCAAAAAAAAAAACGGAATAAACACTACTAGGATATATCAACATGCATGGGTTAATTAAAAGCAAGTCACGTAATGGAGATTGCTTTGACTGACACAGTAATAAGTAGGGAGGGGAGGATCTCATGCGTGAAGATGTGTCTGAGGAAATTTGAAACCGACCAATAAGCATTAAGCGGAGTCACATGTGGAAGATCCTCATTGGCTGCCAACACATGCGTCTCCCACATTTCAAATCTGAAAAAGACACCATTCATTGCAAGTTGCACACTCTCCGTGATCATGCGCGCTGCTTCCCTTCCGTCTTAAAAGGAGGAGCCCCAACAGTCCTAATGTGTTTGGGGGTACGTTGTGTGATAATCAAATAAAATATTAATAAATATAATTATTAAAATAAGTTTATAAGGAAACTTCAATGGATACCACACCATCCCAGTTTTAAGCGACAGCCGACACTAGTCTGACAGATATACGGCGGAAGAAGTCTAGCGCCGGTGCCGCCGGCGATCACCAATGAGGGTGGGCTAATGTTGGCAAGCTAGGGGAAAATAGGAATAAAGGAGGAGCAATTTATGACGATGGTCCTTGATGAGATGAGATACTGTGTTGCCCGAGTCGAATATTAAGTTCAGGTCAAATCTAATCTCACCCGGTTCAAAGAATATACTCCCTCATGCTTTTTTTTTTTTTAAAAAAAAGATTCTTTTAATCAGATTATCAAAACAGTTAAAATTGGTTAAAATAAATATGTAAATAAGAAAAAGATGATGAGAGATAATTAAAAAAGTAATTAAAAAAATTGGTAAAAAAATATATAATGTTCATACACCTTTAACCAATATTTTATAAAAAAGACTAAACTAATTTAAATTTTGCAATCTTATAAAAAGGGCGGGAATGAGTATTCTTTTAGAGTATAATATCCTCATCATTGTTTTTGGCAAGATGCTAGAATCATTTTAAGGTATTTTTATACTGATGCTCAATATTCTTAAATAATTTGTGGTTCAATTTTGTTTTTAAGATATTTTTAAGAGCAATTTTATCCTCATACTTTCAAAATTGATGCGATTTTAACATGGCTCTTAACTCTACAAAAAGTGCATTAAATATGCGCTATTATATAAAAAAAATAAGTTGTAGCGGTTATTTTTCTTTTTCTTTTTTACTTTTGTAGCGTATTTGTAATAAGATTTGCAGGATCTGAATGCTCTGATGTGGATGTTGACAAAGGCAAGTAGGCAACAAGCACGCCTCAAATATGGTGGCAAAACATTTTGCTCTCAAAACAACTTCAATTTTTAAAATTATTCTCATGAACCGAATGAAAACATTTTCAACTTAAGGTCCTGAACTATAATTCTCAACAAGCATGCCTCAAATACAGAAATTCTCTTTTTCCAACTAATGTTCAAGTGCCCATTTATACTTGTAATTGGTTACATGATTTTACTTTAAATAATACTAATTTCGATTCTTAATATAAGATCTCGTTTTATCTTTATTTTAGTCTTAAATATAGACATCAATCCACTTTATCTCTCATATTTATTCATTTTTTTTAAGATAATACTTCTAATAATAGTAGTTCTAGTAAATAAACTAGATTAGTAGGGATATTTTAGGAAAAACAATACTTGTTTATTATAAATGACTAACTTAACTTATTTTCTTAATCTACCCAAATTAATCAACTAGCTCTTATATTAAAGACCAGAAGCAGTAGTAATGAAAAAGAATATCTTGATATTTTTGTTATTGAAGAATAACTAATTGCGTGTAGTAAAGAACAATAAAATATTATTGATCTTAATGATAATGATAAAGATGAAGATGATAATCATGTTGATGTTACTAATTTTTGGTTCCTTGGTCTCTATATTTTTTATTTGTCTGGTTTATTTAGTTTTATTTTTTTCTAGTTTGGACACTAGTTTATTAGTGTTTGAGATTTTTTTTATATACTATTAGTTTTGAAAGTTTGAAGAATAATTCGACACTTTATATATTTATGTTTGAATGTGGAATTTTTTATTTTAAAATAATTAAAAAAAGTTTAAATTAAGAAGAAGACATAAACGTCCAGTGGTCCTGAGCCCACATGTTCAAGTGTTAGGTAATAATATAATAATTTTATAGTATGCAAGTTTTAAAAGACTAGTATTTTTTTCTATTTGGAATATTTTATTAAAAATATCAAATAAATTATAGGGTGAAGGTACATCTAGCACCTTGATCTTATTATTATTATTATTATTTTATGAAGACACCTTGAGCTTATTTTACAAGTACATCCAATACTATAAATTCATGATCTTATTTATAATACATCTAGTACCTAAATCTTATTTTCCTAGTGAATATAACGCCTTGGTGTTATTCTTTTAGTTATATCCAGTACTAAAAAAAATAAGATAAGAATATTGGATGTACTTTTACCCTAAATTATGTAAACATTTTATTTTTTTTAAAAATGAGACATAACCTGTAATAATATAATTATAATAATAAATAAAATTGAGAAAAAATAAATACAAGCTAACCCATAAGTTATGAGCCCATAGTTCGAGCTGAAAAGGTCCTTTTTCAGGCTACTTATGAGAAGGAGAGGGGCGAGTCCGCATGCCCTGCTCAGCCCATCTCTTAGCAATACATGCTCATCCCCTAAATGACAGCATTTTGGGAATGAAACCCTCTTTTTTTTTTTTTGATAATTTTTATTCTTTTTTGGGTTTTAGTTAGGTTAATATTTAGTATATCCAGTATCCTAGAATATTTTTCAGTAACATTTAATATCTTAATTAATTAATTTTTAGTACATTCAACACCTTTAATTAATTTTCTAGTTGCACCTAGTATCATAAATTAACCATTGTTTTAGTACATCTAGTATTTTAAAGTACTTTTTAGTAACACCCAATATCCCAAATTAATTAATTTTTACTATGTCTAACATTATGAAATATTTTTTGTGCAATACGTAGTATTATAAATTAATTTTTAATGCATCCAGTACCTTAAATCATTTCTTAGTAACACTCATTACTGAGAAAAAAATTCTCTGAATATGTTAAAAATTAATTAATTTGGGATATTGAGTGTTATTGAAAAAATATTTTAGAATACTAAATATAATCCTAATAAATAAAAAATAAAATTAATATAAAAAATTAAAAAGAAGAAGAGGAGGAGGAATTAGCATCCCCTGCTCATCGATTCGGTGAGGGATTCGGTGAGGGACAAGAGAAGTTCTTAGGTACTTTTATGTGTATTTTGTTTAATAAAAATGCTCCGACTCTTGTA